TGTCCAGTGATGGATAAGCTTCCGGGGAAACCAGGTATCAGCAACGCAAAGGTTGTTGTGATGGCAGAGAAGGAGAAGGCGGTTACCATTGTCGTTTGTGGACCTGTCAGCAAAGGTTGTGCCGACAGGTGAGCCTGTGGACCGATCACTGCTAGACAGAGAGGCGTTGGCATCGGTGAGGATGATGGTGATGTCATGTGGTGAGGCTTGGCCAACAGCCTGATGGAGTTGGTCAAAGAAGGCGTCCTTTGCATCCTCATCAGCGACATCGGTGGGGGCATAAGCAACGATTACTGTCATCTTGCCATGTTGGTGGAGAAAGCGGGCTGACAGTAATCTGTCGCTCAGGGGTGTCCAGTTGATGAGGGATTTGCGGAGGGCCTTTGGGATGGCAAGTGCCACGCCATAAAGGCCTGTCCGTCTCTCGGGGCCACTCCAGAAATAGCAATGGTCGCCTGCTGTTGTTTCGCCATTGCCGTGCCATCGAACTTCACAGAGCCCTGCCAAGATGATGTTATAGCGGCAGAGCTCTCTGGACAGCAGGGTGGCAGCTCCGGGGCGAAGAAGTGTCTGGACATTCCATGTGGCGACTCGGGTACTGCGGCGAAGGTTTAACCGTACTCGTTGGTCGGGGGCAGGCAGGGGTCCGTTACCGTGTTGGGCTGTCCGGCTACTTTCTCTGATCGGTTTCGTAACAAAATAGTTTCTCCTGGGTGGGTTGTTAGCCCTCCGCAGGATAGTCGGTTGGTGGGGCTGCCACCTTGCAGCATACCGACATGCTGGGGTCTTTGTTTGTCTGGAACCTACCCTGGAGACCGGCCCGCCTAGGGTAACCCTACCAGGAGCGAGCTCCCGACGGTATCGCTCTCCAGGGTCACTGGAACACGCAAGCCCCCTCGCCACGTCAAGGCCAGACCCGAGAGAGAGTTAACTCCTTGCATTAAAACATAGCCTACTCCACATGGTTTCTGGGGCAACATTATAGTAAATATTGGAAATATATGAACTTGTTTTTTTACAGTCTATGGTGTGAACACACAAAAGACACATTTATAATAGGCATATATGTATGGATGTAAATCTCTCCAAGTAAAGAGTTACTGCACACTCACTCAAATATTTTGATTATTTCCAACATCACACAATAAAACCCACATTAAAAACTTTGAATGTAAATTCTGGTTTGAGTTGTTTCTTATGAAATGATCTAATTATATAATTTAGACCTTAATATAATTTTTTCTTAAAATAGCTTACTGGTCTGGACTAAAATGTAGGGTATGTGCACTTAATGTGGCATTTATCATACTCTGTCTTTACCAAATTCTTTTTAACTTGCATCTCATAAAGGTGTTTGCTTTAGCTATATAAGAAAATTAAAATCTCTCTCTAACCTTATAAACACCCATCTTTTAACGACTTACAACATAAACAACTTACAGAGACATACATGGACATGGTTTTAATGTCATTTTTAATTTTCTCTGCACAGTCCATCATCGGTGACCAAAATAAATCAAAGTGGCTTGACACTTTTTCCACTATTGTTCGACCAACAAGTGCTTGTGCCGTTGTACTTTGAAGATCAGGAGCAAATTGATGCAATCCACACTCACCTGACATCAATTACACACACACACACACACCACGATAAAATCACCATGTATGTCCTTTTAAAAAATTGTTAAAGAAGAGAGGCAAACCATAGGGGAGTCATCATAATTCATAAATGGTGTTAATAAAAAATATTGTGAACAACAATATTGTGCCTTTCTTTTAAATGACCCATGGAATTTTAGAAAAGGGATATATTGTGTTTGTCTTCATAAAATGCTAGGACACTGTTTTGTAGCTGTATGATGACCAATAGAGAATAGTAGCTACAGCAGATATTTAGTCGAGGATCCATATGATTACATGGTACTGTCTAAATGGGCTAAATTTGGTTAATATCTAAATGTAACTTTATATAAATTCATAACATATTTCACTCAGTCTCCCATAAAAACCTACGGTGAATAGGCCTATAACTGCAGCAGGTCATATACTTGTCACAACACAATTGATCCAACTGTGTATTTTTATTTTTTCATTTCACAAAAACTCATAGTCTTTTGTAGGCTGAGTGAAGAGAGTGAAGCCCAACTGAATATCTACAGGCATTTTAATCCGTGCAGATCTACACTGTGGCGTTTATATTTAAATGAACAAAAAAATTGTCAAGTCTATGGAGTTATTAATGTGCACGCGTCGATTTAATTATGTTATTTCACAGTATATCCCCCTACTGGACTCATCAGGAACAACAGGGGCGTAAATCTGCCGGCTCCAGGTCTGCAGCCTCCCCATCCCCATATAGCTGCAGTCCAATATTATGAAGCTGCAGACTCGGAGCCTGCATCTACAGTCCCCCACCGAGAGTCCCGCATTCTCAGACCCCTCGTTTTTCGAACACAGCGCCTCCTGCTGTTCGAAAGATCGTATAACACCCGCACACAGAGTACAGCGCACGCTTATCCAAATGCAATTAGAAACAATAGGATATATTACGGTCTCCAAATAAATGATCCAATAAATATTTGCGTTCCCTGCTTAATGCATGTGCCAAAAAAAAAAAAACTCATTGCGATGGAAGGGATACCATTACAGATTGAACTATCTTATGAAAAATAGTATGTGATATTATATTGCTACAATGTTTTTTTTTAAATATTTTTTTATTCAAATTCCAATTTTTCTTTCACTTCAACCTAGTCTAATTAACATTACCATGCTAACATTACAAAATCTGTTTTTTGATATTTTGAATGCGAAGCAAAACAAATCAGAATAGACAAAACACCAATAATAAACAATTCTGTACTTTATTTAATGATCACCTAAACATCATCTTGCTGTAAAGAAAAAAGGAAGAAAAAACTGTGTTCGTGACTTTACTTTTCGTCTTCAATTGCATTAAAAAAACTAATTTATAAGTCGCTTTGCATAATCATAAAATGTTGCTGGGTTCGGCAGGGTCGACTCCATCGATGTATGGTGTATCCTGGAATAGCCAACAACAGTATAGGCCCGATAGCACGTCTTATGATGTTTCAAAAAGAAAGAAAAAAAAAGAAAAAATATGTTTGCGTTACCTTCATGTTGCAGTGCTCTGTTGAAGTGTCCCTTGAGATGTTTTTGAACTTTGGACAACTTTGTGGGTTTGAAATATATGGGGGCACAAAATGGGCAGTGAAAATCACTGCATTATTTATGACATATCTACAAAAAGTCCAAGGCTAACGTTAGCTATCAAAATATTTTCGGGGGGAAGAGGGCGAAAAAACATACATTAACGGCTCAAATCTTGTAACAAACTATCTTTACAAATATTAAATGGACTATTCATATGTTGTATCGATGAGCTAAATTAGTTTTATTAAAAAATAAATCAAACGAGTCAAGCTACTACGATTCGCTAAATAAAATTGAAGATAGCCTACTCATGTTTTGGCTTAAAGGTTGTATCAGTGATTTCTGGCCCAAAAATAAATGTCTAATCTTAGGACATTTATAATCTTAGGAAAGATTAGACATTTATTTTTGGGCCTGAAATCACTGATAGCCTACAACCTTTAAGTTCTTCACATGTTCTTCACATGTTTATCCGATACAATTTGATAGGAGGCGCTGTCTCGAAAAACGAGGGGTCTGAGAATGCGGGACTCTGGGTGCAGGGGGACTGTAGATGCAGGTCTCTGCAGCTTCATACTACTCCTGCAGTCTGCAGTAGATCGCACGTCATCACGTTTTCAGCAGAACCCCTCATGAGATGAAACCGAAAGCACAGTAATCAGGCGAGTCATTATATGACAGTCGACGCCATTTCAGAAGATTAAAAAAATAAATGTCTTCACAGCTCACGGTAAGTTCGTTAAAACGTTTCAAAGCTGTATATAAATACGGATCTCTAAACATGTTTGTCGAACTCGAACATTTACACGGTCACAGTTTGACAAACACAAGTTGATCGATGCTTTCCTGATAAACGGAGGCGGTAACTTCATTCACAACCAACTTTATTGGTTGAAAATAGTAAATATTTTTTTCAAGCAGTATGGATTTTTAGAGTGCATTAAGGACTTTGGCATTCATCAGTCAGACCAAGGACAGTCTTGCACACTTGATCCTTAAGATATTGGGACAGGGCCTTGTTCAGAAAACCTTTATAAACCGTTTCTTCACTTTTCACCACATGTCTAAATTGATCCAAAGTTTGTTTGTTAGAATTTAAGTTACAGAAAAATAAATAATAACAAGGCAGTCTTTTTTAGCTGTTCCAACTCCTGTAACTCCCCTGCTATGATTTCATACGTGATATGGCTGCTGGCTTTTGGCAATATAGTGTAGGCCTACGTGCAAATAAGGACACTGATACAGCTGTTTAGATCATGAATGCGATGACACAAGGAATTATTCTGATACACAGAAGACAATGATTCAAAGAACAATGGACAAAAAAGTTATTGTCTAAATTCTTTCTGTGTTAAACTGATGTGTCATTTGTTCAGAGACTGTAGTGCTCATAAATGTAATGAAAATATTATTATCAGACTCTCTAAATGTTCATCCGCGTTTCTCCCTCATTCTTGTGAGTTTGTTATATATTTTTTAAAGGCAACAAGGTGCCCTCAACTCTGTGTTTTGTGTTTTTTTTCCCTCCGTGGTCATATTTTAATATTCATGTGTCTGTATAATAAGTGTGGTGCAGGTCTGTGTTTGTTTTATTGGTGGTTTTCTTTTCTCCCCTCTTCCCACGTCTTCAATCCCACTTTTCCACAGCATTACACGCACATTTCTTGAGACTTTTTCAACTCTGAGGGGTTTCATGACACTTTAAACCCTTGTATTTACAAAAAAATCTAGTAAAACCCAATTTCATTTTTAATTCACTTCAGTGTTTCAAAATTCAGTTGTGTATTGTGTATGTCCTCTGTGTCCACATACAGGTCTGAAATCAAGTTTCTGCCTGTGAAATGAGTGTGTATGAGGAGAGAGAGGAGGAGAACCAGACCTGTGAAATGAGTGTGTGTGAGGAGAGAGAGGAGGAGGCATCTGTTCACACTCAGAGAGCAGCATCTCCAGTATCCAGCTGTGTGTCCATGAAGAGTAACAGATCCATGTTTGAGCCCCCTAAATTCAGTGATGGACCATCTTCAGGATTCAGCTGTGTGTCCAGGAAGAGTAACATCTCCATGAATAATCCTCCTAAATTCAGTGATGGACCATCTCCAGTATCCAGCAGTGTGTCCATGAAGAGTAACAGATCCATGTTTGAGCCCCCTAAATTCAGTGATGGACCATCTTCAGGATTCAGCTGTGTGTCCAGGAAGAGTAACATCTCCATGAATAATCCTCCTAAATTCAGTGATGGACCATCTCCAGTATCCAGCAGTGTGTCCATGAAGAGTAACAGATCCATGTTTGAGCCCCCTAAATTCAGTGATGGACCATCTTCAGGATTCAGCTGTGTGTCCATGAAGAGTAACAGATCCATGTTTGAGCCCCCTAAATTCAGTGATGGACCATCTTCAGGATTCAGCTGTGTGTCCAGGAAGAGTAACATCTCCATGAATAATCCTCCTAAATTCAGTGATGGACCATCTCCAGTATCCAGCAGTGTGTCCATGAAGAGTAACAGATCCATGTTTGAGCCCCCTAAATTCAGTGATGGACCATCTTCAGGATTCAGCTGTGTGTCCATGAAGAGTAACAGATCCATGTTTGAGCCCCCTAAATTCAGTGATGGACCATCTTCAGGATTCAGCTGTGTGGCCATGAAGAGTAACAGATCCATGTTTGAGCCCCCTAAATTCAGTGATGGACCATCTTCAGGATTCAGCTGTGTGGCCATGAAGAGTAACAGATCCATTTTTGAGCCCCCTAAATTCAGTGATGGACCTTCTGTGACCTCTGACCCTGCGTGAGTATCATGAAGCTGCTAAACAATCTGCTGTAGTGAAAAAATTGAATGTGAAATTACTTAAAGTGGTGAATGATTCTGATTTGATTTCGCATGGTTTATGTGACTTTCTCACGCCACGTAACATCTAAACGTCAGACGTTGTTATTGAAATTGTAAATACTGTGGTACAGCTGGTATTTTGAGGCTCGGGTATCTGCGACAGCACCCTAGCGCTGGTCAAGTCAAGTCACCCTTATTTATGTAGAGCTTTATACAATACAGATTGTTTCAGCTTTACAGGGATAAACAGGAAAATAATGATTCAGTGATGTAAACAGAGTTCAATTCTACTGTAAAGCAGCTCTAAGAAAACAGTGTCATTATTCAGCTGAAGTCAGTGCTGATTCACTGCTCACGCAGCACTAAGTGGGACCACGATAAGACTAAATTTATATTTATATTCTACAAAAATAAAGAAAAAAAAAACATGGAAAACTTATATTTGAGTGGGCTCGATCCTTAAAGGTGCTCTATGTAACTTTTCTACTAAAATGAATCCTTTTTTTATTGCCTGTGTGTGAAGGGATTGTAATCACACATTAAAATGATCCACTTGTTGAGTTTTGCTATTACCTCTGAAGGCCAGTATTCCTATTTCTATGTGAAGTCTCCGGGTCGGATTTACCGCGAAATCCAACGGATGTGACGTGCATGCGCGCTCCCGAGCCTCTCTCCTTATATACAGTCTATTGTAGACGGTCAGGGAGTTACGTCCGGTTAAAGGCGCACGTTTTCCGGCTTATATCTCAGTCAATCTTTGATCAATATTCCCAAGACTCTAATCGTTCGTAGTGCTGGACGGGGCCTTTCGAACGAGCCCACCCCCGAGGTCCAACTCGCCCGGCTCCCCGAGTTATAGCCGTTCGAAATCGGGGGTCCCAGCGAACGGCGATCCGGTAGGGGGCATCCCCGAGGCCCGCCACTCTAGCGTTCGGGCAAGGGTTCCCCTGGGACCTCCTCCCCCGAATTTGAGCTCTCTGGGTCTTTGCGTTCCAGAGATACGAGCGATTTTCTTCTGAGATCGTGACGTCACCGGCGTCCGCAATTTTGCAGCGCGCCCGATGGTTTTCTGCTAATATCTGCGAAAACACCACCAAAAACTATGGAATTTATATGGTTCTTTTCAGCTCGACTAGATGGTCCCAACGAGCTCGGTGCTCGCCGAATCCGTCAAGTATTCGCCGAGATATTTGCGTAATAGACGGTATTGTCTATGAGTTCGAGCACGAGCGCTCTTGTAAAATTTGGTTGCAATCTGAAACATCACCACTAGAGGCCGCTAAAAGTTACGTAGAGCACCTTTAACTAGTTAAACTCAGATGCCTGAGATTCTCTTTACTGTAAGTACCAAAGTATCCACAACAATGACAACATGCACATTATGGCATGCGTGTTCTTTATAGGAAAATAAGGGACACTCTTATTTGTACTGTACCACACAGTGTACGTCATTTCAGTGTCTGCAGTTAAGTACGTGTATACAAGTTTCTCAGACAAACAAATTTTTTTCCTCAACCTATTTTTGTACAATTTAATTCTAAAAATAATACAAATAAATGTCATTTTACACAAAAACCATCATTCAAAATAACAGCTTTTGTAGCATTATACACTACTGTTCAAAAGTTTGGGGTCAGTAAGAGTTTCTTTTTAAAGAAATTGGTTACACTTTATTTCGATAGTCACTTTAGACATTCTACTAACTATAAGTAACTTTTCAACTACATGTCAACTAACTGTCTTTAGAGTATTAGTAGACTGTAGTAGACTGTCAGTAGACTGGTAGGTAATGGTTAGGTGTTAGGGTTCGGGTTAGGAGAACAAGTTGACTTGTAGTGGCTAAGTTACTTATAGTCAGCAGAATATCTGTTGGGGGACAAACAAAATAAAGTGTTAGCAGATATTAAGCAGACAGTCTACTAATTCTCTAATGACAGTTAGTTGACATGTAGTTGAAAAGTTACTTATAGTTAGTAGAACGTCTAAAGTGGACTATCGAAATAAAGTGTTACCAAGAAATTAAAGAAATGACTTTTAATCAGCAAGGATGCATTCAATTTGTCAAAAGTGACAGTAAAGACATTTACTGTATATTGTTACAAAAGCTATCTATTTCAGATAAATTGTGTGGTTTTGAACTTTCTGTTCATCAGAGTGTCTGAAAAAAATATATACAAGTGTTTTCAACATTGATAATCAAAAACATTAAAAAACCGTATCCGATCTAAAACTTTTAGTGTATAGCTACACCAACACACATTAAACATCAACTATTCAAAATGAGGTCATAAAATTTGAAACTGAATGAATGAAAATGCATATTTTTCAATTAAAGAGAACTTAGAGGATTAGTATTGGCTGCTTTTGGTGCTCAAGACTTTATTGGTCATTTTTTGTTTCAAAAATAAGGTCCAGGGTTAGAACACGCTAGTTACTTAAATGTACAAACATTGATTAATCCCAAAAGAGTGATAGATTCTCAGTTTGTTATTCGTATGGTCTAGACTCTGGCGTATGCCTGCGTATACAGGACAAACTGCGTTCCCTATGGCTTTCATACGAAATGCTTCTTTGATGCCTTAAAATACGGGATGACTCTATATTATACACAATGTTTGGCAACCCTAATTTCCAACCGTCTTTTTCCAGAATCATCAGCAGGAAGAGGAAGAGAGCAGCATCTCCTGTGTCCGACTGTGTGTCCATGAAGAGTAACAACTCCATGGTTGATCCCCCTAATCTCAGTGATGGACCTGCTGTGACCTTTGACCCTGTGTGAGTATGATCATGTAGATAATAATGTCGGCTTATGTGTGAAAGTCTAAGGAAGTGAATGACAAGGATACGATGTTGTCTATGATCATATTTAATGTGTTAGGTGAGTGTGCGGCGAGAAGGTGCTGTTTCACTGTTATCTGGGACATTTTCTGGATGGATTTTAATTCCCAGTAGTATTGTGATGTGGTCACATGTGTTTTAAATGATCTGATAGCAAAATGTTTTAAATTACTGCAGGGCTAGACGTTCACTTTTTTGCACATAGAAATTGAAAGCTTTATAGCACAGGTGAGGTCACACAATTGTAGCACAAGAATAAAACTTCTGTTACCATCTCTGAACATAATCACAATAAAATACTATAAAATACAAACCAGAGTATTTAAGAATAAATATATTAATAACAGTAATTATAGTATTATTATCATTATATATTACAGAAAGTCTTTATTTTACAGAAAACTACAAGGTGACCTGTTGATATGCAAGGGGCCTAAAACTTACTCATTAAAGGGATACTCTACTGGTTTTTCATATTAAATTATGTTATTCCCTTAACTAAGACGAGTTGATACATACCTCTCTCGTCTCAGTGCGTGAAAAGTCCGCTACCGTTGAAATGAGAGGGAGGAGGAGAGGGAGCGGGGGAGAGGACTTTTCACGAGTGATGATATTACTGCGCCGAGTCGAAGTGCTCCCAAGCACTTGCTATGGTATTCTGCCATACAATATAGTTATCCATTTTACACGCTTAGAAAAGCGCATCGTTTTATTTTGTGTCACCGTCCTAGGTCGAGTCACACTACTCGTGTAACTGTATTTAAATAGGGAAAACGTGGAGGTGTTTGGTCGCTTCTCTTCTGGGCTCGTATTGAATGAACAGGGCTGAGATAAGATCTAACAAAGTTTCGCCGCAAGACAGCGATGTAGTGCACGCACTGAGACGAGAGAGGTGTATATCAACTCGTCTTAGTTAAGGGAATTATTTAAGTATTTAAGAGTATCATTCTGAACATTTTCCATTCTAGAGCAGTGATTGATTTCTCTCTTTCTCTTCTTTACTGTTTGATTATTATTACTGATGACATCATAAACAGCGAGAGATCTTATAAGCTGCATTCACACCAATGCACAGATCTCTTTTGAAATATAAGATGTGGCTTGTCCTGTCTGTTTAAACCCTTATGACATAACTGACTATGTTTACATTAATTTCATGTCATAAAAGCATTTTGAGATGCAAGTACATTTAACCACTTACACGGCAGCTGCATGTGTGAGGGCTCTTCACAAAGCACGCATGATCATTTAAAATTGAAAGCGGACTTCTGTCAGTTAGTTTTATATTTTTAATTTATAATCCCACTGCAGTCCAAATGACATAAATGATGCCTTCGAAGAGCATTTGAAAGGAAAATACCAACTGACGAGAGAACACACTGCAAGTGTAACATCAAGCAAAGCACACGTTTCTTACAGCGCAGATCCTGTGCAATGAAGCCTGCGAATGTCCTTGGAATTTGCTTTAACCTTTTTGAACTTTTGGAAAGATTATTTTATCGATGGTTCGATTGGTGTGTGTTTGTGTAATTGGAAGCAAGCAGAATACAGGTATTTATAAAGCACAAGCAGCGCAATCGCGCATCTGTGGTTAAAAATAAGCTCAGAATCTATTCCGAAATTCTCATAATCTATCGTTTAGTTTAGTTTTTTTCTCCCACCCCTACAACAAACTCTCACTTCACACAAACAAGTGGTTCTGTCTCACACACATGCAAAACTGTATCGCACACGTGCTACAGTAAATGAATTCATCACACACAGATTTTGTTTGTAATACGTGTGACATATATGTTGCAGTACATCCCTGCTCTGTTTTACATTTTTATTGGTGAATCAATGGAAACAAGGCCTATGTGGACTGTGCACTCTGCCAAAGTCTCAAGAAATATTCACCCAATTGCTATCCACAGAAGAGATCTGTTGAGAAAACAGCAGTCGTTTGATAATCAGTACTGAGAGCTGATAAGGGAGTTATTCTTAGATGGAATTAAATATATTTTATAGGTTTGTAAAAGTTAACATGTTTACTCATCTGATTAAATACATTTTTGTAGATTTAGTTAACACATTTAATGCTTTTTATTTTTAAAATAAAAAAAATCCTCCTGATCAGAACCACAGAGAACCACACAGAGCACTGGTTTAACAGTACTGTAAATGATAGACAATGAGCCCCTTTATGAGTAATTGATTTAAACTGCCAATCACAGAAATGAGAACAAAAGATTGCAAATCATTGGCATCTTTACATTTGTAAGATTATGTCCTTAAGTGTGAGAAATCTTGTTTTATTACTGAATTATTGCTGTATTATTTGCATAGAGTTCCATGCTTGCATGTCCAGTCCATTTTGATGCATCCACAAAAATTGTTGAAACTAAAAGTAGCATAACTAATAATTATTATTATTATTATTATAATTAGGATATTCATTATTAGATAAATCAAAAATAAATATTGTAATTTATTGACAACCTATTTATATTGTTGCTGTTACGTGCATATGTGTGCTTTCTTAGGCCCGTTTCACACCAGAACGTTAAACATTGCATATTATTTTCAGCATCCATGTTAACAGAGCATTCACACGGCACGATGAGGCATATGACAATGCGTAGCAGGAGCAGAAGCAGTGGTGTTGTGTACGATTCTGTGTCTAGTCTATTCAAGTCTATTTTTGCTGTGCTGTTCATGCTCTGTTAAAGCAACATTGCATTTTTCATGATCAAAATGAAAATGGATTACCAACACCATCAGCTGCAGTTGTCTCTAGAAATGCTGCCATTAGTCCTGAAATCACAGTGTGAATGCACTAATTCAGCTCTGCAAAAGCACAGTTTTTTCGCTGCTTCTGCTCTGCTACACTTCTAGTGTAAAACTATGCTTATTTCTGTTATTTCTCTGTTACATATCTGTTTACACAGAAATTATTTTTGTCACCTGGGTTAGATGCATTAATATCATATTGAAACAATCCTTTAAATATGTTGGTCATTATCTACCCCAAATGGCGGCAGTATTAATCTTCACTATTTAGGAAACAATATCGGTCCCAAAAATAATCTTCGGGAAACTCTATATGGGATGTCAAGAAATAATTTGGCTATAATAAATAGAAATCATGTTATATTTAAAAGGAGTGTCTTTAATAACCACTTCTTTCTAGATGTGGTATGATTTCAAATCAGAAATATTATATATATCATATTAAATATATAATATATTTCTCTATTCTTTTCTGTTTTGTTTTGTGTCTCTGTCTTCTTATTGTGTTTCCAGTGGTGTGAGAGCTGAGCAGATCAAAGATGTGTCCTGTCAGACCAGCTCATCCTCCTGTCAGAAACACATCAGTCATCATGACACAGAAGCAGCCCTGCAGCTCGACTCTCACCAGCCAGTGCATGATGATCTGCAGAGAGTCAAAGACCGGCACAAAACCAGCATGAAGAACAAGTATGAGAGCTTATCTGAGGGAATCAAACTACAAGAGAATCAGACTCTCCTGAACAGGATTTACACACAGCTGTACATCATAGAGGGAGAGAGTGAAGGAGTGAATGAAGAACATGAGGTGCTACAGATGGAGAAAAGTTACAATGCACTCCAAGACACTCCAATCAACTGCAATGACATCTTTGATCCTTCACCTGAACTAGGATATGAGAAGAAGAGAAGAGAGAAGAAAGACAAAATCAAGACTGTTCTTACTAAAGGCATCGCTGGAATCGGAAAAACCGTCTCTGTGCAGAAGTTCATTCTGGACTGGGCCGAGGGAAAAGCCAATCAGGATGTAGATTTCATGTTTGTGCTTCCATTTAGAGAGCTGAACTTGATTAAAGATCATCAGTACAGTCTTCACAGACTTCTGCTGGACTTTCATCCTGAACTTCAAGATCTGGACTCAGAGATTTATGATGAATGTAGAGTTGTGTTTATCTTTGATGGTCTGGATGAAAGCAGAATTACACTGATGTTTTCAGACAGTGAGAAAGTTTCTGATGTGACTGAGACTTCATCAGTGGGTGTGTTGATGTCAAACCTCATGAAAGGAGATCTGCTTCCCTCTGCTCTCATCTGGATCACCACCAGACCAGCAGCAGCCAATCAGATCCCCTCCAAATACATCAACCGTGTGACAGAAATTCAGGGATTCAATGTGTCTCAGAAGGAGGAATATTTCAGCAAGAGAATCAGTGACGAGGATCAAGCCAGCAGAATCATCTCACACATCAGAAGAGCAAGAAGCCTCCACATCATGTGCCATATACCCGTCTTCTGCTGGATCTCAGCCACTGTGCTTCAAAACATCCTGAAACAAGATCTCAGTGCAGAAATCCCTCAAACTCTGACTGAAATGTACATACACTTCCTCCTCATTCAAACTCATATGAGGAACCAGAAGTATGAAGAGAGAGATCCAGAGAAACTCCTGCAGTCCAACAGAGAAGTGATTGTGAAACTTGCTGAACTGGCTTTCAATCAGCTGATGAAGGGCAATGTGATGTTCTATGAGGAGGACCTGATTGAGAGCGGCATAGACGTCACTGACGCCTCAGTGTATTCTGGGATTTGCACTGAGATCTTTAGGGAGGAATCTGTGATTTATCACAGGAAGGTTTACAGCTTTGTACATCTCAGCTTTCAGGAGTTTTTTGCTGCACTGTATGTGTTTTTCTGTTATTTACACAAGAACAATGAAGTTCTGAAAATATTCCTTACAGGAAAGTCCAGAAATCAGTGTGAGACGGTTCCTCTTGATGTATTTCTGAAGGAAGCAGTAAATAAAGCCTTGAAGAGTAAAAATGGACACCTGGATCTTTTCCTTCGATTCCTTCATGGCATCTCACTGGAGTCCAACCAGAGGCTCTTACAGGATGTGCTGATTCACACAGAGAACAACCCAGAGAGCATCAAGAAAATAATCCACAACCTCAAACGAGGTCAAAAAAACAATGTCAGCCCTGAAAGATGGATGAATCTGACACACTGCTTGATTGAGATGAAGGATAATTCTGTTGTTGAAAAAGTGCAGGCGTTTTTAAAATCTAAAGCAAAATGTAAAATTCTTTCTCTTGCACAATGTTCAACTTTGGCAAACATGATCCTGTTGTCGGAGGAGGTGATGGATGAGTTTGACCTTAAAAAGTACAACATTAAATCAAAGGAGGGTCGAAGGAGACTGGTACCTGCTGTGAGGAACTGCAGAAAAGCTTGGTGAGTGTGAAGATCTAATAATGCAATTACATGTGACACATTGTGATGGATGTTTTTTTTTTTTTTTTTTTTTTTTTTTTTTTTTTTTTTAAAGGTTTATTCGGTTACTAAAACAAATTGTATGCACAGCAAATTCATTACAAACAGAGAAGGTAACCGAACGGGTATAGGCTGAAGCCGTGGCTTATTACGCCTACCCTATTTACAAAACAACATCTACCCATCAAAATTTGAACATAAACAATACATGTATAAACATATACATATATATATATATATATATATATATATATACACACACATGTTCACAAGCATAAAACACTATTTACTGCAGTGTGTTGTTTTCATTCTCAACCAAATTTTCTAGTTGTGGAACGGATCACAACATTCACGGTTCACAATAAAAATAAAAGAAGAAAATTCACAGTTCGGATCATTTACGGTTTTTGAGCTTCAGATCGGATCATTTTTTTGGATCAGAAAAAAAAAAAATATATATATATATATATATATATATATATATGGAGGGGATGTAACTTTGCTTTTAATTTATTACTTAAAGCTCACTTGAAGTCATTAAAAGGAACCAGAACCATACCACATAAAAAACTACTAGCTTAACTGATAAAGTGAACAGTCAGTAATTCAATAAGAACAAATACACAAACTACAAGCAGAGATGAATACTAAATAACAAAGTTACAAAGTCTAATGCTGCGTTCACACCAAACCACCACAGAGCCACCACAGAGTATTTGCTCTGGAGAGCAGAACAGCGGCGTAGGGGTCGTCGTCGCCGTGCTTGGGTCCACCGGACCCTCCGGAAGCGTTCCCAGTTTGGCGAGTTTCACCACTCGCTCCAGGAGCTGCGCCTGGATGACGGCCGCTTTCAGCGGTACTTCTGCCTGTCCCGCGCCCAGTTTTATGACCTGTTGTCCCGCATCGGAGCGAGGATCGCCCTCACCCACCTAATCTGTCATTTATTTTTGTTTTGATGATAAATGGAGCCAGCCTCCAAAAGTGATTAACCTGTCCTGTGATTTTTTTTCTCTCTCACACAACACTGTCCAGACACGAACTATGTTCTTATGCACTAAAGTATGTTGGTTGTCTTTACATTAGAATAATAATGTTTCATATAATCTAGATTAGATAAGGAATAAATAGCATTCAATACAAAATGAATACGTCTCATATAATATTTAAAATCAAGTTTTTATGTGATAAAATATTTGCTTTGTTGTGCATTAGAACTACACCAGGCATTTAGTCATATTACAAAATAATTTATTGAGGCCAAACATATAAAATAACATTATAAACTGAATGGGCCTGTCCCCGTTTATCACGTCACTTCACCATGTGACAGCAGCACCTGATTGGTTAAAGCGGTGTGAAAGTTTAGATTTTTCAACTTGGGCATCAGAAGCGAATTCGCGTCAAACGCGTGAATGCACCAAATAAAATAATTTGCGCGTAACACGCGTATCACGCCAGATGCTCAATTCGTGTCATTCGAGTGAACTGGACGTGCGAATAAGGTGAATTCAGGTCTGCTGCGCTAAACACTTCATTTGCGCTGCAGGACCTCTTGATGTGCGTAAATGCGTCTTTACATTGACTTAACATTGAAATCACTCGCGCCAGACGCTCTATTCGCGGTTGGTGTGAACGCACCTTAACAGTAGTATTCAGGTACAGAAATTAATAATTAAGCCTAATTATAAAATAACACAATTTGTTCACTGTAGAAATTAAATATAGTTTCATATTTGTTAAAGCTGTATTTTTTTGTTTTATTAACATTAATGATGCATATAACTGTAGGAATATTAGATGTGTGCTGTTACTAAGAACGCATGCATGGACCGAAAAAAATAAAAAACAGCCGGTTTCTTTCTAGACTGTTCACTTTGACATAACCGAAAGAATACTTGCTGAGACGGGTATTTTGACATAATTTTGTGTCCATTCAAGGGCAAGGAAATGCCTAAGAGGAATCAATTTGGTGTTCAAGCGCTATCTGAAACGAAATCTCTCTCTCTCACTCTCTCTGCGTGCGCGCAGTTTGTGTTTGTGCGGCTGTGCGTACAGATAACACACAAGTCCCGATTTTCGCCTCTTCTTCCTCATTTAAATTTGTTTGAATGTGTAAACTGGCAAGACAAAACACATTCAAATTATAAACTTTCACTCTATGATGGTAAAATTTAGCAGTTAATCCGCGAATCACATGCGTGCCGAACCGTGAAGCCAGGTCTGTACGAACCACAGATCCATTGCGATCCATTCCACCCCTAAAATTAACAGTTTCCTTTTACCTCAATAAAGTTTTGTATAAACTAGAAGAAACATGATTATTGATTTTAAATCGCATTTTTATTTTAATTGCACGATCTTCCTGCTGAAAAGACAACCAGCATTATGTTATATGTTGATGTTGGTTTTGCCTTTTAATCAGTTCTCCTTTTTTTCAGTTTGGCAGACTGTAATCTCACAGATCAGCACTGTGAAATTGTGTCTTCGGTTCTACAATCATCAAACTCCCCCCTGAGAGAGCTGGACCTGAGTAACAATGACCTGCAGGAGTCAGGAGTGAAGCTGCTCTGTACTGGACTGAGGAGTCCAAACAGTCGACTCAATGTACTGAGGTTTGTGTTTCACATTTATTAATTACAGTTTCTCAATTGTTGATATATTTAATTGGGACTTGAAATGCAATCACCAATACTTAAAAACTGTAATGTACCAAATCCTTAAACCAAGGTTGCAAAATTGGCACTACATTTCCTGCTTTACAGTTTTCAGTTGTATATCATATTTAAAAAAAAAACACCACACACAGTTCTCTACATGAAGTACAACATTTAAAATTACTGTAAAATCTCTTAAGTCTCTTTAGAACATCTTTGGCAACATATTTCTATATGCCAAGCTCTTTACACCAATAGCAATACCCACTCCTCACAGGTGTAAACAGTAGTTGTCGAATTGTTCACTTCAGAGCTTTACCACAGTTAAAGGACATAGATGACCTTTTGCCATTTTTTATGAAAAAAGTGAAGCAAGAGTTAAAAGTGAAGGAATGAGTAAGAGAAGGATGAGGAGAATAATAATAATAATAATTAGGGATGGCCCGATACCATTTTTTCAAACCGATACGAGTACGAGTATTTACATTTGTGTACTTGCCGATACAGAGTACCAATACCGATATTTCTACTGCAAAAGTAACTATAGGCTGAGGCTCCCATAAAAGAAGACTATTTTAGAACACCGGTTAGAAGACTGTTTTTATTTTCTTCTCTGCTTGTTTTAACAAGTTTAAAAATAAATAATAATGAGTAAAATAATAAATGTATTAACACACAAACCACTGTTAGTTTAACCTAAAAGCAAGCAGGCTACTGAGTGCATGGTCTGGCATGACTGAATGCGTGCAAAGTGCGCTTCCTTAAAGGGGTCATGACACGAGAAACCAAATTTGCCTTGATCTATTAGTATAGTGAAAGTGACACGTGATGGCCAAGTATGGTAACCCATACTTGGAATTTGACCTCTGCATTTAACCCATCCAAGTAAGTGCACACACATTAGGAGCAGAGTAGTGAGTAGTGAACACACACACACACTGCAAACGTGGATACACACACCCGGAGCAGCGGGCAGCCTTGAGTGGCGCCCGGGGAGCGATTGGGGGTTAGGTGCCTTGCTCAAGGACACCTCAGTCATATTCCTGCCGGTACTGGAATCGAACCAGCAACCTTTGGGTCACCAGTCCAACTCTGTTACCATTAGGCCATGACTGCCCATAAGAGATCTATGTACCATTAAAACTTCATGCAAGTTTCATAGCTTAAGACATCCTCCCCATTATAAACGAAGCATTTATTTAATCAAGCTCTAAATACAGCTCGTTGTGGATCCATGGTATGAAGTGACGTCAGGGTACAAAGTGACGTACCAGTCGTTTGCATATGACCGCCTCCAGCGCAAGACAACCAGGCCTCATTTAGCATCATCGCATCGTTGTCATGCCCACAGGTGTTCAGTTGACGTGCAGGCAGTGTTGCCAACTTAGCGCCTTTGTCGCTATTTTTAGCGACTTTTCAGACCCCTTCAGCGACATTTTTTCAAAAAAGCGACTAGCGACAACTTTAGAGACTTTTTGGACAAACCTCAGTAACCTCCAAATGTTGCAGTACTGTCCTGCGAGCGCGAGGTCTTGCAGCAGACTGTCGTCACTCTCTCTAGCTGCGTCTCCCCTGTTCAGTGAATGGCTGAGAGGAGCGCACGGCCGCTGACAGACGCGAATGAGCAGTGTTTTTCCACGGACTTATCACTTATCTGCTTTTCTTTTGTTTTATATTTAAAGAATTTAGTTTGACCATTTTCATTTTATTTATTTTCTTGTGCTTATTACTTGTAACACTCACTATATCACATAGCTTAGTTCATCCGGTTCCCTAACTCTCAATTCAGATAATGTTCCACATAGGCCTATAAAAAATGTAATCATTCACTATATTATAGCTACTCGTTCTATTGTCTGACAACAACAAAATAGGAAATGAGAACAGCTTTATTTGACATTCGGCTATATTATATTAAATAGAGCATTAATTTAGAGAGAAAACGCACTAGGCTGACAGAACGACGCGATGACGTAATTAATATGCTAATTGACGTATGACGTCATTTAGCGACTTTTAGGGAAGGCGTTAGCTACTTTCCTTTGAAAATAGTTGGCAACACTGCGTGGAGGGAGTGGGTCTGTTTACAAGAAGATAGCGATGCCACGCAGATGTGCTGTTCCTGGCTGTGGACAAGCAACATGTTTGAATACGCTGCGAACGATCCAGACGTCAGGGAAAGCAGTTGGATGTAGTTTATTTGCTGCGAATTTTTGTCCCGCCAAAGCCTTATTTGATCGGTGAGTCGTGAGTGATGTAGATGAGTGTGACAGGGTGCATGTTACTGAAAGAACGAGCAGAGAGAGCCCCGGCCGCGCGCACGCCTTCAAACTGTCTTGCTCTCTCTCCCTCCCTTGCGCATATGAATCAAAATCAATTGAGAATTGACATGATGGTAAAAGATCGGAAGACCGAAATTTCACGTGGTGGTGGAGCATTGTGTAGCCTACATGTGATACAAAATGAACATTTTGTGTTAATAATTTATGCATAAGCACTGACGTTAGCCAATCATAACAGTGGGCGTTAACACTAAACTCTTAAAGGGGAAACACCTCCAAAACAGACTGTTTGAATCAGAGGATGAGAAACAGGGTGGGAAAATGTCATAAATCACTTTCTTTTTTTTTCTTTTTTTTTTTTGTCCAAAAACTATAGTAATACTATAATTGCACCTAAGGGAACATAATAAAACAAAACAATAAAACAAAACAAAAAAACATGTCATGACCCCTTTAATAATTCCTAAAAAGCTGAGTTCATCGCAATCTCACACATCTCTGTTATTATCAATGAAGCTGACTCCACAATGAATCTTTCATAATATCCACACTTTGTTTGTTATAATTAGAGGATTTGCCAGCACACTGAATTCAGCACTGAACAAAAAAGTTTTGAGCGGTGAGGGGAGTCTATCGTAAATGCTTCTGATTAAGGGTGTCACGATTTCGATATTAAATCGAAATCAATCGAAATTAATTCAATGGTATCGAAATCGAAATAAAAAATGGTATCGTCGATACTGCCACGCCCCATGTCGCGTCCGTGATGGAAAGTTCGTATCGTTTTACAGACTCTATTGTTCAATCTCGTTCATCAAAATTAACTAAACTTTTTTTCTAGTCATTTCAGGGGCTTTAAATGTTATACTATTAACATGCAAATTCCCCGAACATTAAGAAGATGTACATAATGAATGCAGTGAAAAATAATTTACACTACAGGGAACAAATAATTACTTTACCTTCCGAGTCTTTTGTTCATTTGTCGCGTGACAGAGGCAATGAAAAGATCGTTTATGATGAATGACTCATTCATGATGAACGACTTATCACGGTGCGGAAAACAAAACACCTGTTGAAAGGCTGCGAGTCCTCTAACTGACACATCATGGCAACTGCAGATATCGAAGACCCATCAACGGAACTTGAACACCCTCCTGCTTCTCTGAAGTCGCCGGTGTGGAGGTATTTTGGATTTGCAGTGCGGTATGTTGACAACGTTCGCGTTGTCGACAAAAAAGCCACAGTTTGCAAGCTCTGCTATGTGCGTGTACCATATTCGTCCACTGGCAACACGACTAACATGGCTGCGCATCTCCGTTTTGACAGTATTATAGTAATTTTTTTAGCAGCTCTCTTGAAACTGCTAAATTGTTACAGTTGTTCTATAATAAAAAAAAAAAATGTTTTTGTTTGATAACTTAAAGAGCAGCTCTAAACAAAACAACATATCCCTCTTTAGGAAGAACATAAAAGAATGAAAAATACAGTCATCATTCTCAGGGGATAAAAAGTAGTTATTTGTGTGGTATATGTTTTTTTATAACAGAATATAACTGTTCGGAAATAGTTTAAGATGCTTAATTGTTCAGAGAAGAGAAGACTAGTATGGAGTCTATGGACATTGCTGTTTTATTGCTTTTGTTTGTTTTGTTGTGATTGTGAACATAAATGTCATCTTCTGAGAAGACTGCAGTTACAAAAGCAAAGTAACCTGCCATTTAGTTTCTCTTAAGTTTCCAATTGACTTAATAAAGTTATTGTTACATTTATGATGCTACTTGTTTTTGTTATATTTTAAATTTGGCAATGGTGTAGTGTACATTGTGAACAAATTTATATTGCATAATGCATTAAACGTGTAGTCAAAAAATTGCATAGCAATCTGCGCTTTAAATTTTTTTTTTTAAATCGAGAATCGAATCGAATCGTGACCTTAGAATCGAAAACTTAATCGAATCGAGGATTTGGAGAATCGTGACACCCCTACTTCTGATTGGCAGTTGCGTTCAAGAAATCAAAACATATGTCTGTGATTGGCTACATCGCTCAACGCTGCAAACATGTTATGAATAGAAACTCTGGCCTGTAAATTTTAGTTGTTGTTCTTGCTTTTCTGCAACAGATGAATAAAAATCTATTAGTTTTAATATGTTTTATTCATAGATTTTCTAGTTTGCGGGAGTCCCGCGAATCGTTTTATTCTCCGGCAACCCGCACACACAGTGAGTGCATTACCGCCCGCGCTCGCACTTGGCCATCAAATCTAGTGCCGCGCCGCACTCTATTGCGTTGGGAGTGCACGTCCCTATGCCTCAGTTCACCTCGACAAAGCACTCGCGGCGGCCAGTTTCGTTTCGCAAAATTTACGTGGTATCGAGGGGTGGTATCGGCGAATTTTTATGAGTACGAGTATATGAGGACAGTATCGACCCGATCCCCGATGCCAGTATCGGTATCGGGCCATCCCTAATAATAATGTAAATGTATATATTCGACTCATATAATTATAACCAGTGTTGGGAGTAACGCGTTACAAAAGTAATGCATTACAGTAACATATTACTTTTTGCTGTAACGCAGTAGTGTAAGGCATTACCAATACATTTTCAGTAATATTTTACTCGGTACATGTTCAGTAACGCTTCCGTTACAACACACTTTTAGGCCAAAATT